CAATGTTAAATGTTATTATATTGTCAACATGTTCAAGTTTCGTGTTTTGCAAATTGTTATTACTTTCCGTTCTACATGTTCACGCGTCATAACCCCTTTCTTTTCAAACTGAAGTCAGATGCGAGATTCATAGGGAAAAAGGGAAAGAAAACTGAAAGAAATCAAAAAAACTTTATTACACGTTTTTGTTTTTAAAATTCGAATTATTTAAATGTCGATCGCATAACCTAGCTAATAATATTATTACCGAGACGTACACGTAGGTTTATTTTTCATCAATAATATTCGAAATCATTGTCAAATTGAGGTACACATATAACGTATGTCAACACAAAATCTGTGTGCAGCGATATCTGACATGTTGCAACTTTAAACAAATGATTAATCGTTATCATTTGTGCTGATTTGAAGAGCAGAGGGCCATAAAATAAAGGTGTACAAAATATGAATTAGTTAACTGTACATGTATTCGAAGAACGTTTTGTGTAAAAATACCGTCACTAATGAGCAAACCTTATACCTTAAAGTATTCTATAAAAAACCAGGAACTGTTAAACTGCAAACTTGAAATTCAACGTCATGTATTATGCTGAAACAATAAACGAAAAAAAAAAAAAAAAAATAGAACAAACAAGAACAAACGATAACACATGGATTATCTCTCACAAATTAAACAAAACACTACTTGTGGATGTTCGCTCCCCTGTTTTAGATAACAAGTTTTTCAAAAGACTGTTTTAAATTGAAAATATATGAATAACAAAACTAAAAAAGTACGATAAACATAAACAAATTCGTTTCCTTGTTTTTGAGATATAATCAATTGAAAATTTGACGAGAAATAATTCTCTCTAGCTTTTCCATGCATTAAAAATGTAAAATATTGACATCTTTTTTCTTTCAAAAACTATGAAAAAACAACAAAGATTTCATAAAATTTTCAAAATTGGCGTTTTGATCTACACTGTATATTTAATAAAACTATAAAAAGAAAAGTCAGGGTGTACGGGCACAATTTGTATTGCCACTACAAAAATAAAACAGGAGGATTGCGAATATATGACAAACAGTCAAAACAAAAGTAGCGAACATCCTTAATAATGTACACTTAACTGTCAAATGCTAGGGGATATACCAAAAGCACGAGTTCTCATTATACTGCATCCACATACAAGACGACATAAACACATGAAAACATATTTTAAAGGTAACTAAAATATATCAAAACTAGACATTGTGATGTTAAAAAAGCAATTAAAAATAGTATTATAAAATCACTCGAATCTAAATGTACACTCACACGTTTCAACAAACAAGAATATCTAGATGAAGTGTTTACTCTCATATACTCAGGTAATTATATATCACCTATAATTATCACCTTTATACTATAACATTAAGTTAATAGGAACAGAAAAGAGTAAAAATACACCTACGAACTTGAAGCGAACATGTGTACATTGCCAAACAAAAAAAAAAAAAAAAAAAAATAAGGATTAATCAATATTGCTTTCATTCAATTGAACGGATGACTGCATTTTGATTCACAAAAGACCTTTAGAATACAAAGTAAGTTATGGTAGGAAAATTATATCATTTACACTTATGTATTTTGTAACGTTATAAACTAAAGAAACACAGCTTACTATGTAATATCTTGACTTCCGGCCTCTTTTATTCATCAATTTTTATCAATACAAAATAATGATATAAAGAAACGGAAAAATTAAAAAAAAAGTCACACTTTTCAAATATGTAAGTGCTTAAAACGGCACTTTCAACATAAATCAAACTGACACAAATCGGAATTTGTTCACGATTGTTTGAAAAAGAGGCGATTTTGCAGCCAGATTTTTCAACAACAATGCTAGTGGATATTCAAAAATATTCCCGTACAATGCCAGAAGATGACAACCCAGAATATCTTCAAATGATACTGTTTAGTAATTAGTGAACCGACGAGCTATTTATTTCTTTTTTTTCCTACGACACCACGTGAAAAATCCAAAAAGTAATATATCGTGCATTGTGTTTTAAACTGCGATTCGATATTCAATATGCAGGAATAAAATGACGTGAAGTTTCCGCAGACACAAGAAATTAAAAGGTTTGATAAACCAACATTGAGAAAAAAGCAACCTCTTGATTCCGTCCAGAAACAGCCGGGACAATCAGATAAATAATTTAAAGATTCCCATAAAACTGTCTTGGATGATTTTAACGACTACAGGTATTATATTCTCTTGGTCCAAATGACAATATCATGGGACAAAAAAAAACATATCTAAAACTTCCTGTATTGATTTTATTAATATTGTTGATATAAAACCCAAGTAACGATAGGTCTCATGTCACTCATATCAACCACAATCAACGCACCAAACATGGTTCTAATGTTTAACTTAAAAAAATGATGGATATCAGTTACTGTGTAAACTTGGTCAAATACCAATTAGATAATTTCATAACAAAGTCCTATAAACAAATGAATGTTCAAGTATCATAACAGTTTGGTATTACCATAAACTGTTTTTTCGTATTAATAAACCTTAAAAGATCTTATTAAAAGAATCTTTAAAAATAAACAACATTAACAGAAGTACTGATTTTCCCAATTTGCCTAGAACTTTTAATGAGTCTACCGTTCAAAACTTTATACCTCCTATTTTGATTACACAGAGCAACCAATAATTTCTTAAACGTACACAAACCCAATATAAGTTTAATTGTTAACTATATCAGTTACATTAGACGTCAGTATAGACAATGGTTCTCCTTCCGAATAAGACAGTGAAACATTGAGTTAAAACATGATCCCTGTGGCCATTTAATAACACGGACGTCAACATTATCTAAAACCGGGATGTCTGATAAATGAGAACCAAAAGATTATTCTCAATCGAATATAAATTTGAAAAACTGTCTTCAGTCTATTAACAAGTTATAGTATTTCATTTTCACGAGATACATTTGATATAAAACTCTTTAAATTCTATTAGAAAAAAAATGTCTGAATAATGTGGATATTCGCAAATTTTGAAAATAATTTAGAAACTAACAACAGAGTAAGTAATTGGCGAAGGTCTAGCATTAGCAACAAAATTCATGTACATTTGTACATGTTGTCCTGGCAAAGCGTTTTGTATTCATGCCAGTCCACATCGAAGCCATCAATGCAGTTCCTTCACGTCTCTTCAATTCGTAGTAATCAATTTTGATGATTTGTTTTACTGTATTGAATGTTCTGTGTGTAGAGATATCTGACATGTTGAAACTTTAAAAAAATGATTGAGCGTTATCATGTGTGCTGATTTGCAGAGCAGAGGACCATACAATACAGGTGTACAACATATGAATTAATTAACTGTATGCAAAGACTTTTTGTATGAAAATGAGGATTGTAAAATTACAGAAAAATGAATTTCAATTTATCCGTAATTTTTTTTACCACATATGTTAAAATGTCCCAAATGATGAAAATACTGGTAGGATATCAAAATCGGGACAATGTATTCGAATATCCTGAAAAAAAATATCAATATATTGTTTATTTGCCAGTGAAACAACTTTCTATAATAGATTAAATGGCTGTGATGTAATCATCCTGATACCACCATAAGACCTTCACTTTTGAAAAAAAAACGCATAACTTAAAGTAATCTATAAAAAGCCAAGAACTGTAAAACTGCAAACTTGAAATTCAACGGCATGTATTATGATGAAACAATAAAGGAAAAACAAATAGAACAAATAAGAACAATTAAACAACACCACATGGATTATCATTCACAAATAAAACAAAACCACCCAGCCTTAGAAGACAAGTTTTTTTCTTCTCCAGAAGACTGTTTTTAATTTAAAGTATAGTAATGACGAATCTGAAAAAGTAGATAAAGATAAACATATTTGTGTCCTAGTTTTTGAGATGTGATCAATCGATTTTTTTACGAGATATAATTCTCTATAGTTTTTCCTGCATTAAACATGTAAAATATTGACATCTTTTTTCTTTCAAAAACTATGAAAAAAAATTTAAGGATTTTATAAAATCTAAAACATGGCTGTTTGATCTACACTGTGTAATAGAACTATAAAAGGAAAAGTAAGAGTTTACGGGACACATTTGTATTGCCACTTCATTGATAAAACTAGAGGAATGCAAATATATGACAAAAAGACAAAAAACAAGATAAGTGAACATCCTTAATCATGTTAATTAAACATATTCTAGAGAATATACCAAAAGCACGAGTACACATTATACTGCAACCACAAAGCATACGACATAAACACATGAAAACATATTTTAAAGGTAACTAAAATATATCAAAACTAGTATTGAGATGGTAAAAAGAAAATGAAAAATAGTATAATAAAATCACTTCGGATTTAAATGTGACGTTTCAACAAACAAGAATATATAAATGAAGTGTTCACTTTTATACATTCAGGTAATAATATACCACCTACACTACACATACTACAACATTAAGTGTATGTGTACATTGCAAAAAAGAAGAAAAAAGAATAACCAATATTGTTTTCATTCAATTGAACTGATGACTGTATTTTGCTTAACAAATATCCTTTAGAAATACCACGTTAGTTGTAAATATTCAGCAACACACTGAATGATTTTAACGACTAAAGTCATTTATCAGTACAGGTAAGAAATTATATCATTTACACTTGTATATTTTAAAATTTTAAAAGTATAAACTAAAGAAACATTAATAACTCATAAATGCTTTGACTTTTATCTGTTTAACTTATGACAATAGAGACGATTTTTTCATAACCTATTGCTGATTTTTCTTTTTTAGAGAATGATTTCCCCTCGACACCTTCTAATATGTGTGTATATTCTAAGAACATGTTCTCCATTCCCGTTTCTGTAGTGACGTTTTCAATGATTGCAATCTTTGTTTAACTGGACTAAGTCAAGCATTACATTGTTATCCAATTTTGAAATCATTTTTACAACTATGTTTCAGGTTAATGTCTTATTGATCACGCCTGACACCTGCATTGTGTAATAATAATGTCAACAATGCACAGACAGCTTCCACATATTACCAATCTTATTGACGAAGTGGATACTATCATCATTGATCGAACAAGTAAATTTAACATGTTTAGATACAGTGTGCAGGAAAAGTATTCTCCAAAATTACTGGATACAGTTTGAGAAGAAATATACTTAACTTTGAATGACACAAAAATATGGCATGTACTCGTAAATGAGACATACACATAAAAAGGTACAAGTGATTCTTATAGGTCACATAGTCTTACCAAGTCAAGTTCCTACATACAAAAATTGGATCCACACAATCACCCTCGTTAAAACACTTAACATTTCCTCAATTTTCCAACAATTCATCAAAAAAATTGAAATTATAAAACGAAAACTAATAGAAAACAAACAGAAATCAACCATATAAGAACCATAACAAAACAATGCGAAAAAACGACTAATCGAAATATATACATAACCAGCACGGAACATTACAGGTGAAGCAAAAGATACTAACAGGGACTTTCAAGTTTATTAGTAGACAACTTGCGAATCATTTCCAATCAGTTCAGATATAGAAGATAATATACATGTAAATACATGACAGTATTGATGCATCCGAACAACTTTTCTGGATGTGCCTCCATCAGGAACGCTCATCCCAAAGAAAATCGACACCTAAACAACATGTTACTTCTTAAATACAAGGGGAGCTATATGACCATTATTCACGATGTAGACATATTTTAAAGTTGGACTCTTCAGTAACAGAAAGCTATTAGTTCATCTCGCTATAAAAGTGGTATAAGAGATATTTTTTTTAAAGAAAATACAACACATAAATAATCAAATATTCCTGATTCATTTTTTTTTCAAAATAGGTGAACATTTGTTTATAAACCACATGAAATCGGAGATAAATGTTATTTAATTTGTCTTAATATCAGCCAAATTCTCAAATTTCAAATTCATAGATTGTTTTCTTAAAAAAGTCATTTTGCTTTCATGTTTGTTGAATCTATTATCACAGAATACATTGGTATTAAAATGAGCTTCTAACGTCAATACACCTGATAATTTTAAATTGGTAACGTTAATGTTATTATTTCCATATGATAGGCACAAATTCTTGTGAACTGTTTGTACCCGATAGTATCACCAGTCCAGAAGCCAGTACTTTGGTTTCTTCATGACGATACGGATATTGTTAGATTTAAACTTACTTTTAGTAAGCTGAAATTCACATTCCTCATGAAAAGTTCTGACCCTTTTGCCCGGATTTGGCTACAGCTTAGGTCCTTTTTAGTTTGATAAACTTTCCAACCTCTGAATATCTTTCGGTTTTTCAAATTTGTTGACCTCGAGCTTCACTAAAGAGTTGTTGTTTATTGAAAAAAATGCGCAATTGGTGCTGTTTGTGTTATTATATTTGAAAATGATCGAATCGTATTGAAATGGTTAATTATCAATATTATGATAGCTATGTACATTTTTTGGGGAAATGTAATACTTTATCGGTGAATTCGATTGTCCAAAATAAATCGGCAACACAAGTTTTATAGGAACATTTTGCCGCACAATATTAACATTTTATCCATACTAAAAATTGTACCATAAATAAGGCAAGCACATTGCCAATTTAAACAATTGTAAAAACTTATAGTTTATTTGTGTTGACTTAACACACACAAGATATGAGACAGTTGTCTATTTGTAAATAGTTATTGTTGATTGCTATTTCTGAACGTCCATTTTGAATTATTTGATCCAAAGGCATTCATATAACACATCAAAAATGAATATGATAGGTAGGTTCTGCAAGGTGACATGATGGGGTTTAATGATTAAGAATTTAAAACAGACAAAATGTCTCCTCTTTTCTCCCTAAAAGTGTTGATGCAACGGTTAATTAGCGATGCGCTTTCCTAAAATGAGGCATCAAATTCGATTGTTCTATCCCTATCGAACCTGGCTGCGTATTTAAACATCCCGCATGAGAAATTGAACACCCCACTTAGGCAAGGGTTCTCATATAAGAATATCTGTACATCTTATTTTCACTCCTTTGACTGTGATTTATAAATGGAGAATTTTTTTTTCAATTTCAAAGGGATGTAGATTGTGAAATGATCTAATGTTTATCAAAATTGAATAGCATGTAGTCACATAAGCATATAATCAATGTCTTTGATTCCAGTACTTGAGGATGGGAGCATAAAGTCATCAGGTTTGTATATTCTATTTAGTTCCCAATTCCTAAGATGAGATGGACGTCAAATTTTCACTATTTCAACTATTCTTCTTGACGTTTTACATATTGACTATATACAGTCCGTCAATACCCGTTGTAAAATGTATTAACTGGAATCTACCGACCGTAGTTTTGGATATTGAATGGTGTGCTCAAATATCTAAATCGGAATATATAGACTGTAAACACCAATGAATCAACTATCCACCAGAGACCATTTGAAGATGCAAGCAAGATACCATGTATACGTCACTGATTGGTCTTCAACAATTGTTAAAGCCCTTAACGTATAGTGAGCTATTACAGGCACCAAAATGACAAAATTTAAAATAGAAAAAAACAAAATCCAAGCATATATTAAAAACAAATATAATCGACAGCATATAACGACAACCACCTAGTAGCATGCTACTCCCTTTAGACAGGCTCATACATACTGCAACGGGGTTGCACATGTGTGTGAGCACTTAACCCTACACTAACCTTAAACAGTTGTATATAAACACAGCATACGAAAAAAACTGAAAAATTTGATTGGATAAGGTATGATTTAGTTCGACCAAAAGTCTAAAACAACAAAATACACAAATAATAATTTAAGAGTACTTTCATTGAATAAACACTAGTTCGGAACAATTTGAACTATCAAATAAATCACATTTACGTGACTGAAATATCATTCAGTACATTGAAAGGGTCTCCGGTATTAGGTGAGACCGGAAGTGACATTTTTTGAACCGGAGGTAGCACATATCACCTTCATTTTACACAAAAGTATATAAAATTCATTAATTTACCGAATCAGTATGATGAAACTTATGATTAGACGCCGATTGGAAAGACCTTCAATTGCTTTCTGAATAATGGGTTTTTAATATATACTTGTTTTTATACCTAGTCATGTTAGTATACCATGAAGATAATTGATATATAAGAATACAGATACACCAGGAAGATACATTTTTGAGTTTGTGTTGCTCTATCGGTAGTTTTCTATGCAGCATTTTATTGACAGTTTCTTGTATTATTTCATGTATTTTATAATGGAATGAAATTGTAAAGTCATCTTGTTATATTTTATTGTTGTAATGATTAACAGGTCTATATACAATCAAGAATGAGATTGTTGACGACAGAAACATAGCTAGGATTACACCAAATGATAAAGGTTAGTGCAGTCGCAATAATTTGTCTATTTTATTTACATTAATACCAAATAAGTTTTGATACTAATTTCAAATCTGAAACATCATATAATTGACTTAAAAGACAGTCTATTCTGTTACTAATTTGTCACGATAAATCAAACCACACATGTTAATGCTAAAAATGTTTAATGAGGGTGCCTGCTTAATTCGGTTAGAATTTTGACGATATCAGATGCAGAAGCGAAATGGGAAAACATAATATCATATATGTCCAATTATTGTTTTCAGTTATATCTGTAGTTGTAGTTCAGTGATTTTTGATAGCCCAGTTTGATCAGTGTTGACTAATTATTTAACTTACTCAACATTTAACTGACTTATTATTTAAAATCTGAATGGGTTTATACGTTAAAAAAATCATTTATTGATTATTTTAACGTGCGTTTTTTTCTTCATTTACTTCGGCGGTAACTTGAAAATGGAGCATATTCTAATTTAGTTAAAAAAAAATTCTCCCGTTGATCATGGTTTCCTGAATGCATTGATTCATCACATCACATGACAAAAGCAGGCCATTAATCCCTTTTAATGAACCAATTATGAAATTTAAAGTAATTCTAGAAAGAAAATGTAGTCTATTTATAATTTTGATGATTGAAAAAAACGCAAACAGTAAACACACCTTAAATTTACGCTCCGTATCTACATTCATCAGTTAATGTTCGACTTATGAGTACGAATGTCTCTTTTGTACCTTTCGCCTCTTTTCAAATAAATATCAGCATTTATAATGACTCAAACAAAGTGAGTTTCTTAATTTTGTAAAGGTTCAACTCTTATCTTAGTACGAAATTCCAACATCTTTGGAACAAATTGTCGCCATACTTCTTCCACCATTTTACAGTGTATAAACATATGGAACACCGACTCCTTTTAATTAAAATGTAACATCTAGGCTATTTTTAGCTTATTTTTTGTTCATAATAGTACTACTTATCTTTAAAGCCAATTATGTTGGTTAATAATTTTTTTTTTTATATTGATAATAATTTATTGATTGGACAGCGTGATTGACCATGGATGTGTCCGTTTTGTAAAAGGTCAGTTTGTTCGGACGTTTTAATGGTTTTAAATTAGTTACATTCAGCTTTCCGGTTGCATCTAACTTTAATTGTTTTAAAAGATGTAGTGTTTATGTCCTAAATATCTTTATACGAAAACCATTCCTAGCATTGGATGAAGACAATCATTCTTAATTTGATTTACACGATACATTTTTCCATGATCATATTTTACGATATATATTTATCTGTATGAAACAACTTGCATATCATTCAAAGCAAAGCATTTAATTTCTTTTTTATGTGAAAATGTTGTTTCAATTTCACTGAAGTTTGATTTGAAAGGAACGAGTGAATATGGTGTAAAAATGATAATCGAATAACTTGATGGTAGCATTTGCCTCTATAATCTATTTACACGTCTCTTATTTCAGATCACATTCACAATAGGAATCTTACTATTACTGATGACAACGGTAAGATGGTACTAATGTGCGTTAACGATAACAGAAATTGCCTTAGAAACGCCTTGCATATCTATAGTCCTGCTGGATTTCTACTTGGGACTGTTAGAGAAAGGTATGCAGTTGTATGTTAGAATTATAATTCCTATTAAATTATACTAGCTTATTAAAAATATAATCGACAAGTGTATAAATAACACAATACCAGGGTTGGGAATGTGTTCTATAAGTAGATCAAACTATACTATTTTTCAGCAAACTATTATTTTCTTGTATTATCTACAGATGAACGATGCTGTTCTCAAAATTCAAAATGTCTCTCTTATACAAAATTGTCATTAATACCTAATTTTAAAAGTCAACAGTTTGTGTTGTCTAAAATTATCATTGTAAATACAATCAATTTTTGGAAATGATATTGTAATTGATCAAAGAACTAATGAAAACAGAATACAAATAATGTCCGAATTTACTTAATGTAAATACTATTATTGAAAACTTTGCAATATTAAACATTCATTATAATATGATATGCTGAAAGCCATTTGACGGATACATACGTTTAAAACAGGTCACGGCGAAATTGATTAAGTTTTACAGTCCGAATGATCAATTAAAGAAATCTGATCATTTATAAAAACAAATTGATAAATATTCTCAATATAAATTTCAAGCTATAATTGGCAACAATAATTTCCTAATAATGACAGCCTGTTCTTCATATGATCCTTTAAAGATCAATTTTTAATTGACTATCATTAATATGTGTCGGTAGAGACGATATCGAATACATGATGGATTAAAATATGTGTAAGACACTTAAACCTCTACAAAACAGTCATTTTGATGTCTTCTTGTCAATGGATCATGATAACATTCCGGATCATGTATTTATAAATTTTGTATGGTTAAATGAATGTGGAATTACTGGTCCTTCAGCAACAACTTGTTGTGTATGTGATGTGTATCGATAGGTATCTCCATAACCTGAACAAACATACACCCAGAAATAGGAACTACGGTTACCTGTGTGAGTGCTATAAGATCATCCCTGCATTTACAATGTAATCTCTTTTTATTTTAAATAGTCCCCTCATAATTGATATTGTCTTAGCTGGCAATGTATTTCATTTATCGAAATAAAATGCGATAATTGATATATGACATTTTATTTGTGAACCGGAAAATTTTACTTATATTGACTACATATTTTTAGTAACGAGCTTAATACATATTGATTTTTTTATAGTTTGTTCCTATGTTGTACTGTTACAGCACTGTCCAATGATAGGAATAGGGTTTTACATTTGTTATTTCGGGGCTTTTTATAGCTGACTATGTGATTGGGTCTTTGCTTATTGTTGAAGAGGGTACGATGACCTATAGTTGTTAATTTATGAGTCATAAAGTCTCTTGTGGAGAGTTGCCCCATTGTACATTATTCCACATCTTCTTTTTTTTCACATTGATATATACCTATTTTTATAAATCTTTAGTTTTTATAGGTTAAATGAATGTTCATGTGGTATAGGTCAATTGTCCTTGCTTTTGGTTTGCAATTGAGAATATTTATACAATACCTTGCTCATGTTGCTTCATTTTAAATTTTACATGTAGATATGCAACAGAGTAATGACTTCATAATTTTTATTGAAATAAAATGAATAAGATTGTATGGAATTTTTGTGTTTGAAAGGATGATTTATTTTGTATTTGTTTCAGGTATATGTTTCTTTCTTAATTTTTTTCTTTATTTTGTAAAAACTATTTTCTTCTTGGCATGTGTCAGAATATGGGTGTTCGTATGTTTAATTTTCATATGTATAAATGTTCATGTATGTATTGATTCGCTATGCAGATGAATCATGAATGAAACATGCAAATTTGATTAACATTTTCTCTAAAACGGGTTTAAACACACAGCTTTTTATTAGATCATGCCTTTAGCAACTTAAAACAACATATGCATTACAGTTTTTTGCGAAGTGTTCCGGTGATATTTTAAAATGAATAATAATCTACAAATTGTAAATATTATCTTGGAGTTTTTTGTATATACATGATATAAGGTATCTACTTTCCTGACATGTTTCTATTCGTTATTTTCTTTCCATTTTTTAACTATATAGACATTTCAAATGGAAAGCAGACTATGATATTTGCACAGGAAATCAAGAAGTCATTTTTTTAGTTACACATGACTCTAGTGCATCCTATTTGATCATTAAGGTAAGCTTCAGCGAAATTTTTATACAGTTAATTTAGTTTTGTTGAAAGTAAGGACGACGGTCGTATCATAGTCATAGGTAGTCTTCATGAACAAAACTAAAAAAAAAAAAAAAATACAAAAGATGTAGGATATGCATCAATAAGATAGAAATCCAATAATGATAAAGACTTTTCAAAGAGAAAGGGACTGGTCTTGAACAATAGACAAAAGCCAATAAGTTGAAGATCATATTTTATTTTGAAATGTACAGAAAAAAAAGATATCTTTTTAACTTAGTTGGAGTGCGCAGAATTATAAGAAATTATAAACTTGAATTATACATGCTTTATTTGATAACATTGTTAAAATAGAAAACCCAACAAAAGCTGTCATTTGTTTCACAAGAAATATGTAAAATACAGGATTATCAGAAAAAAAAAAGATAACTAACAGGCGGATCAAGATATTTGTTAGAAGCTATCTGTCGTAATTAAATACAATCACTCAAAATAGGGTTTAGTGTGATGAGTGTAGAATTATTTTAGTCACAAAACAATGCATCAACAATGTTTCCTATCAGTCATTTTTTTCACAGATAAAACAGAAAATTGGTAAAGATATGGTAGCTGCGTTGTCATCTTCACATGGGGAAAACGGAGAAGTCATATATTCTATTATTAGTAAGTATTTTGAGTCAATTTAAGAATAAAAGGAGGTAGGATTTAAACAATCGGGTGAGTAATCAAGCATGCATAGCCATGTTGTTGTAAGTTCAAGTAAAGTAACAGTCATATCATGTCAAAATTATATCTTACTCTGACTTGTGCTGACAAGTCATTTAAAGCATATACGAGCGCACTGGTTCCTGATAATTTCGTAGTATAAAAACAGTTATTCCTGAGTTAAGCAACAGGGCAAACATGCCCTCCTATTTGAATTTTATATATCTTTTTTGTTTTAAAAACAGAACATTCAGCAAGAGTTATACGTATAATGATCACAAGTCTGTAAGCTTACACAGTCGAGGCAAATAGGAAATTGCATAATATTATGAAATATCCTAATTTAACACATTATTATGAAACTTCATAATATTAGATAATCGGCTAATTTTGTAACTATATTATGGGATTTCGTAATTCATAAAGTTATGGAAATACATAAGATAAGAAAAATTTTATAATTTTAAATATTTTTTTCGGTCGTTTTTTGGGCCCCGTGACTAATTTTGGGAAATTTCTAGAAAAAAAAAGTTATTTTTGAGTGGCGTTTATACCAGGTCATAATGAACAACTGTCAGATTTTCATCGACACGCCTTAATTTCTCCCGACACCACCCTCTTTGTTTGTTGTAAATAATTTAACAAAGGGAGACAACTAGTATCGGTTTAAAATACAACTTGCGGTTATAGTTCTTTGATAAATCGATCTTTTTATTGCTAATCTAAGGTTGAAGATGTGTTTTTGCTATATTTCTAATCTAATTTGCATGTGATTTACAGCTGCATATTTCATGTTCATTGTTGAAATCTTGAATTATCTAGTTTAAGACGTTTGAAATGAATATATTTGAAATAAATTTTAAAGGTTTATCTAAACAATTGTCTGTTGTCATATGCATGTTGAAACAATAAAATATCAAAACACCAAATAAAATATTATCTATCAAAGTTTATTTAATGCATAACGATGTATTTGTTAACTAAAATAATGCCAAATAACAAAATTATTTAACAACTAAAATCATATGTCTGATCTTAATTTTGTAAATAGCGATATTTTCTTTACCGCGTGTAGAAACTTTATATTTCTTTTAATTTTAGAATTATTTTTTAAATATTTTACAGTGTTCTTTTGTTGATTTAGGTACTATTAATTGGATCATGGAAGTATTATATTGTCAATAAACTACTTCCATGATCGATAATTATGATAATATTAAATCGTAAGATACGGCATTCAAGTGCATAACGATGTATCATGGTTTATTTTCATCACTGCTGTCAAGATATGTAGCGTGTACGACATGTAATAACATCTCATCTTGGTATGATTCAACCACAAAAGTTACTGTTTACAAAAGAAACGATTGTAGAAAATTTATGTTGTAAAAAGGAGTATTTGTTTTAATAACAAACATTTGTACATATTTTTAACGAAACTATTGCTATATTACGCACACGTTTTGATTTAAATGATTCATTAAGTTTTGAATATTTTATAATTAAAAACTTTTTTATTGAATTTAAATTTTATGTTTTTTTATTTAATTTGAAAGTGGTGTTTTGTAAATATCTGCATTTGCATGTCCGTCTGCCTGTTTGTGATTTAGTTAAGAAAGAGAGCATAAAAATCAGACAAACTCATTATAATAAATATACATAAGAATAAAGGAATACTTGTATCACAATTATACACAAATTAAGAAATATTTTTGTATCAGAAAATTATATAAATATAACGTGAAAATTGATATGGAATAGAACAATTTTAATTGAAAGACTACGCTTTCGATAATTTTAATTTACAGGGAAGTGGCAAAGTAGGGAAGAGCAACAAAAAAGTTCATACAATTGCGAAACTCTCGAGTCAAGTAGACAAAACGATCTTTCGGCTTCAAAATGATTTAAAAAAATAGTGCTGTTTTACGAAATCGTTTATCGAATTTCAGTATATGATAAAGTTTCTTTAATTGACAATAATATGGGGATTTTGAACTTCAATCTAGTAAGGTGATTATTTAAGATGCTTGCGTAGAAAATTTTTATAGACTACATAATTATGATAATAAGAAATCGTCATATTATACATTTATTTCAATATGGTAGTTTGTAAAGATCTAACCAATCTTTCACAATGCTCAAACAAGCGCTTAATTTGGAAGTGTTTTTTTTCGGCTACATTAACAGGGACCCCAAAGGGTGACTGGGGGATAGAAGTATGGTCACGTAGTCTTCTTTCGACCGGCAGTAAAACGCTTGACAAAGTCCTTTTGGCTGTGCGGGATGTACGTATTTGCAGTCACATCCAGTCAGAATGGGGACGTTAAGTCTGATGCCTCATGTAAAGAGAGTGTAACGCTATCAGTAAGTTAAGAACCCTTAAAACAACTCTTTGAGGGGTCCGTAGGTGGCCTGTTGCAAGGCAAAATTTCTGTCCCTATCCAAAATACTCTCATTTTAAAGTGCCAGTCCAAATTTCCCCGACCTTCATCCTGGATGGCCACTTATACAAGACCTGCCTATTGTATTTATTGTTAACTTGTTCTTGTCCTAAACATGCATTAAATATTTTTCGCTGGACGTTAAGCAACGAAAAATCAATCAATCAATACTTACCAGTTTATATATATATATAAAATTGAGAATGGAAATGGGGAATGTGTCAAAGAGACAACAACCCGACCATAGAACAGACAACAGCAGAAGGTCACCAACAGGTCTTCAATGCAGCGAGAAATTCCCGCACCCGGAGGCGTCCTTCAGCTGGCCCCTAAACAAATATATATACTAGTTATATATATATATTATATATAAAGGTTTATTCTTCTCCTCATTGTTATGCAATGATATGTGCATAACACTCGGCATTTTACGTTGCAGTAAGTACACAGGGTGGTTAATTTTAATATATGTACCTTTCTTTATTTACAACAGCTTATTCCCTTAAATCTAACATAAGAAATAGAAAGAAAAAATAATGTTTGCGTTATATCGCACAGGTTTGCCTTATTTCGCAAATGTTTGCGTTAGTTCGCAAAGGTTCGCATTATACGCAATTGTTTGTGTTATTTCGCAAAGGTTTGCATTATAACGCAAACATTAGGAGACATATAAGAAAACAAATGTATGGGACTTTTACGTTTCCGTAAAGTAACGACAAAAACGAAGTTAAATCTTAAATGACATTGCCTGTTTATCTATTTTTATTCATGGGTAGATCAAAACATTTTTTTTAAGACTCATTGTTAAAGGCCATACGGTGACTGTTAGTTCTTATCCTCTACGTATTTTGGTCTATAGTGGACTGTTGTCTCATTGGCAGTCTTACAGCATTTTCGTTTTATAGTTATTATATGAATATCTTTCGACAAAACCGTATTAATATATAATAGATATCTACCCAGTATATAATACTGCTTCCTGTTTGTTTTCATTAGAAATACGAGATTGCAAGTGTCGTCCGTATCATACTTATTTATTATGACATTCTTCTATTGAGTATTTATACCTTGTTATGAATCCAGGAGTTTCGTACATATTGTGCCGAATGTAGGTTTATAATTTATTATAATTACTTACCATACACCACTAGATCGGTATAAACATTGTTTTACCTTTTTAGTTTAATGTTATTTCTATTTCTTTCGAATGTAAAATGGTAGAGAGAAAAACAGTTGATGAAACCCATTTGAAGAACGTATACAGGATGTACAATGATATATTAAAATGTCTATAGAAGTTGGATCTTTGAACGTGTAGTTGCATATACATTGTACACAAAGATACTGTTAAATGAAATTAGATATCCTGCATTTATCATGCTTTTCAATTATATATGGTCGAATCGCAGAAAGATCCCTCCTTTAAAGTATTGACAACTACAAATCTGCATTGACAATAATATATTGGTGTACATTAGATACACCCATTTGGACTAACGCCCTCAAGGTGTATATAAAACAAACAAGTATAAATTAATGTCTACAGAAATGGAAATAATACATGTACATGTTACTGTGCGTATTGCTTTTTGTTTCTTTATTCTACATTGGTTAGAGGTATAGGGGAAGGGTTGAGATCACACAAAACATTTTTAACCCGGCCGCATTTTTGCGCCTGTCCCAAGTCAGGAGCCTCTGGCCTTTGTTAGTCTAGTATGTTTTTTTAATTTTAGTTCACTTATATGTTTTGGAGTTTAGTTTGATGTCCATTTTCACTGAACTAGCACACAATTTTAGTTAGGAGCCAGCTGAGGACCACCTCCGGGTGCGGGATTTTCTGCATTGAAGACCTATTGGTGGCCTTCGGCTGTTGTCTGCACTTTGGTCGGGTTGTTGTCTCTTTGACATATTCCCCATTTTCATTCTCATTTTTATATGTAACACATGGTTAGAAGATGTCAGGAATTATGTACAATTGATCCATAATAGCTTAATATTCGATGAAGTTGAAATTAAAATTGCGAAAAAAAAGACAGATGTCAAATGATAAGTTGAACAGTCACAATAGTCAGAAAAATAAAAATATAACTATGATGAATATAAACAATAATAAAATATTGATACAAACAATATTTTCTCTTAATTCAAAAACGATAAAATCCATAGATCATGTGTTTATATTCTACATTATGAGTAAACAGGACATCTGAAAACATACCATATAGCTTTGATTTATCGAAAAATACAAGATTGTGCATTATGTTTTTTAATACATACTGGGAACCTGTCTACAATCTAAATTATGCAAGAAAAAAGAAGCATAACAAAAAAGCAGCGTATTTGTTAACGAATGATAATCTTCTGAATATACGACATTCTTCATAATCTATATTATAATCTAATCAGATTTAGGAGACACACTCATGTAGAAAAACGTTCTGTATGATAAGCTTGCCATTATAGCATAATACTTAGCTACATTATTAGAAACAGATGTTTGCGATGATTATTAAAGGGACATTAGTTACTATTCTTATCGTTATGAAAGTGTTAAAACTTTGCTATTCAAAACCATTTACTTAATTAAAGATTAGAAGGGATATTGAGCAATAATTGGAAAAAAACACAGTATATCATCGATATAAAGTATTTGATATATCATTGTTATAATTTATTTATTGTGTACATGTATCGTTAATGATACAGTGCCCTCGTTAGAAAGGTCGTTGGCAAATATCTAGACGTTTTATACATATTGTGAAAATTGATCTAGAAAAAAAAAACAAATGTTAAACTCTTTAAATAAATTTATTTTCAACTTGTTATATGACGTAATTGGAATCTT